TTCTAATACTGTTCTGTTGTAATTTTCTTGGTGTTAGAAAAATTATTTTAAATCTAAGATAAACAGATACAGATTTCCGGTTACATTAATATCTGGCACCTTCTGCTAACTAGCAACAAAGATCTGCTAATTTCATTCGAGAAAATTGAAGAGAAAACGTCGAAACTAAGAGACGATTACATGTAATTATACATGACTGAATGCACATATTTACCATAACATATAAAGTAAATAATGTCGAAATGCGAACAAAATTAAAGTGCCCACAGTTTTGGTTAATAGAATCAATGTATGTGCGAAATTCGCAAATTGAAACATTTTCATTTTTAATAAATCAAACAAACATAAAATGCTGCCATCCATCATTAGCCATTTAGCCAAATTATAATTTGTGTTACTTCAAACATGATAGAACTCAACAAGTTAGAGTGAAAATATTCCAACTACTTGTCAGGTTCACATTAGATTTTCTTGCAAATCGCGCAAAACACAACTAGTTCTATAGTTTATCGAACAACTCTTACTTGTTGGTTAAGCAAAAGCGTTAATAAACATATATTTATTAACGCTTATATATATTTATTTATACAATCTGATGCTGAATAAGCATTCTTGTCAGTTCATCACTTAACTCGTCCAGAGACAGTACTTGTCTCTGGGCGAGTTAAGTAGTACTTGTCTCTGACTCGCCATTATTTATGACAGAAGTGTCTTTTTTTCAGTAAACACCAAGGGTAAACGATTTCGACAAATGTAAATCTCTTAAGCAAAACGAAGGCCTTGAAAATTCTTGTTTACATAATAATGATGTAACTATTAGAAATTGCAAAACTCAAAATTGCGTTGTGCCCAATTACTCAAAATTATATAAAATTCTAAAAGTCTAAACCAGAACAGCAAAGCTAACAACTTGATTATGCCTCAATTAACTACAGAAACCTGATTTTCTAGATAGCCAACTTTTAATTCAGAAATACAGAATTGTATTATTCTTTCTCGGCATTTTACTTATATAAAGGTGTAACAAATAGAAACCTCGACAGCGCAAGGTTGTTGAAAACGACCTGTTTGGAACAAGCCAAACACAAACAAACTTTTTGCGAACGACTCGACATTTCAACGTATCGTAGAAGTCCTTTGAAAAAACGTTTTATTCTGTTAATGAGAAAATGGTCTTGAATTATTTTTGGAGTGTGGAAAAGCTGCCTTGATATAACAATTAACGTTTAAATTGATAATATTTTTTTGGAAAAAACTTTGTTTCAGTTTCTAAGAACATTAATACGCGAGCAATTCTCTAATTAAATTTAAATTTAATTCAAATTCAGTTCATAAACAAACACATGTTCTAAAATGCTTATGTTTCGATCAAGTGTAATTTTTTTTGTATTCTCTGTTGGTTTCACTACTTAAGATGAGCCTCAATCGACGCATAACTTTTGTTTTGCGACGGTTTTGTTTTGGTAAGTGATTTGCGAATACTTGAGTGGAATGCAAATGGACTTCTGTAATACCAGCAAGAGTTGCAAGTTACATTAGAAACCCAGCATATTGATGTATGTAGATATTAAATCTATCATGCACTGCACCCGCAAAACACTGTAAGAGGCGGAGCAGTCGTAATAATAAAACAAAATATAATTCACTATGAAAGATAGAGGTGTGAAACGGAGAATACAGGCTGCGAGTGTGAGCATCAAAACAAGAAAATATGAAATTACAGTAGTAGCAATGTATTCACCTCCATGGCATAATAGGGTAAATTAGCCAGTAGTCGGACAGTTATCATAAGTCCGAATTTAATTATTTCATTACATTTCTGGTATTGAGGTAACCAATCTAAAACCTTTTCCAGGGAATTGTTTTATGATTTTGCTTCAATTTAAATACGGACTTTCAAATCGGACACTTTTCGATTGGTTATGTCTGCACAGTCCTGTATTCCGAATTTCATAATGACTAATAAAATTTTAATACAAATTTACACTTGATGCACAAATATAATAAATATTTATTGAGTAATTTTAAAACAATATTTTTTTAGTAAATCGGTTTTAAAACAGGAACTAAACTGTCACTATTATCTGTAAGTATTAACATTATTTTATTGTCCATAACAGAAAATGGGCTGTAATCTAGTAATTTAGGTTACATTTATGATGCTTGTTAATCTAACATTAGGTTATACTTTTTTTCTGTTAATAGTTTGATTTGAATATCCGATAAATTCTTAAATCCCCAAGATTGTAATAAATAAATAGTTTAGAATATTTTTTAATTACATTTTTTGTTAAATAATCAATCAGTTTTTCTGAAGCACTGAAGTTCATTTTGTTCTATTAAATTGTTATTTTATATAAAATTGTGTATAGTTTTTTTAAAGTGAAATATTTTTACGCATTTCTATAACACGGAGGATTAAGCAGTCATAAAACATTCAAGATAATCAATATCTTTAAAGATATTTTCCAAATTGTTTAAATTTATAGTGAATAAAATGTCAATTTTATCTTTTGTAATATTTTAAATGCGCATTAATTTTTACGTCAAACCGCACCTAAAGCGCTTGACACAAGTGAACATTTTTCCCTTACATTAAAAACTATAGATTGTTTTCAATAATTATTTTCTAATACTTTATTACTAAAGAAAAAAAGATTCATTTGCGATTAAATTTGACGAGCCTTAGGTAACGACAAAAGGAGCAAAGAAAGGAAGCGAAAGGAATGAGCACAGAGTTCAACTGCGATTAAAACAATCAAAATGCACTACACATTGATATATTTCGCATTGTGCAAATTGTATATGAATACCTTATTACAGGAATGTGTGTGATTAGTAAATGTGGTATTACAAGCAGCTGTTCTTGTAGCAATTGACATAATAAGTTATATAATCATAAGACAAGCGACTGTCCGTAATCATACAGAACGTACTTAAAATGTATCATCTGCACTTCTCACAAAAATGACTGCTTGCAAGCAAAGTAAATCAATTGTTTCCATACCATTCATTATCACTTAAGCTAATGATTTAATATAAGCAAACAAATTATTTGAGTAACCTTCAATTATTCAAAGGCAACTTAACAAATTAGGAATTATTCGATCGGTTCGATTCATTCGGATCGAATTACTCATGTTGACCTATGCAGGATTTTAAGGAAGCCCTGTATGTTTATAATGAACGTGACATTATACAGACAGTTTTGGAATTTTTCGCTTAATTAAAAGCTATTAATCGTAACCAAATATGGCATATTAGTGGAATATATGAAATACCAATTCCATTAGCTTTCTAATCGTGGTAACTCCAATATTACTTAAAGTTGCAAATAATCAAACTCACTTGTCTCAGTAATGTTTTAGATACCACATATATCCGTAAAGATACCATACAAAAATTGAAACATTAATTTGAGCCAATTTAAATACTGAAAAATTTTTAGTGGAATATTTCCAGTGCTTTTCCTACATATATTTCCACTAAGTTAATCTCCACTACACATAATAGTCGTACAAAAAAACACGCATCTAGCTTATGATTTAAATTAAGCCCAATAAAACATTTTATGCTGTAGGGAAATAACGCTGCTATAGACTGACGTAACTATAGAGGAAAGACCTTTTAAAAACAAATTGTCAACAACTTTCTAGTAAAATAATAATTTTAGGTGAAATAAATAAAAAGATCAATAATCGAGCTGAAAAATATTGACAAGATTTTACATACGTTATTATTAGAAATGACGTTAAAAAGTTAAATCATTGTAGTAGCAATTAGACAAGAATATTGAAAATAATAGGGTTTTCAAATGATGGCACAAATTTTTAAACACCAGTGATAAAACATTTTCTACTTGACTCATATGTTTTCAAAGCCTTGCTTTAGTTACGTCAGCACCTGAAGTAAAAAAATCCGTTTTCAATAATAGCACATCCACACCTCAAAGCCTATTATCTCAAGCAGTATTGTTGTAATAGAAATTCCACATCGACGTACATTCACTGACGATAAAATTTGATTTCGGTTTCTACGCAATCTTTAAAGAGTTCGTCGAACTCAGAAAGATCTTCACCTACGGTGGTGATCACTTTATCTACCTCGTATTCACAGTCAGATTCCATGTTGTGAAGAACACTTTCCACTTCCTTGTCCTTAGCTTTAGTGTAAAGCAAGTAAAGAGTATGGGGGTTCTATTCAACACGGACATATAAAAATAGGGTAAATTAAAAAACTTTCTTACGAGTTAAAATTGAATCGTTTTATAGTTATTGATTATCGAGCATTGATCTAGAAAATACAAAGGTATATCAAATATAGACGGGCATGATTTATTTTTTTATTTCAGACGGATCGAAGACCTGGGCTCAAGATTAAAGAGACCATGAGCGAAAAGGCAATGTATGTCTTCCTGAAGCAACGCATAATTATTAAGTTTCTTGCCAAGGATGGTGTGAATTCATCAGACATATTGTGGAAATTCGAGTATAACAATTGTTAAGAACCTGAGTCTTTGGCACGAAGAATTTTCCAGAAAGCGTGAAAAAGTCCGGAATCTCATAGAGGACGATAGACGCATTAACTTCTTGAATATCGCCAATAAACCCAAAATGAGCTACGAGGGGCCCAACAAATCGTCACAAAAGACAGGATTGCACAAAGTGTTTCGTTCCGTGTTCCCGCCAGATATGTTCCGGATTTGTTGTCAGACGAGAACAAGCAACTTCGATTTGAGGTTTGCCAGCTCCTCTTAGATATCGCAAAAAGGCTCTAACTCGGGTGTCTGTAGGGAAGGTGATCGATGTGATGATGAACTATTTTTTTTACCGACAAGGTGCTTTTGCGTCAATTTTCTCCTCGACATCGACGCACAATTAATGTTTTTCTAGGGTGGGAGATTATGTCGAACATGTTTTTGTAAAATAAAGTAAGAATTTATAAAATAAAGTCCCGCTTATATTTGTTACACCCCCGTACATAAAATCAAAAATACTTACATTTTTGTCCGGGCAAATGGTATGCTTGGAAATTACAGCATTCTTTGTGAAAATAAATGGTTTAAAAACAGATCTTGAGGGGTCAGGAGTAGCAGTAAACCAGTGAATACTTGGAACGGCTGCTGACAATGTTGATACCTGCAAAAATAAGACACATTTTTTATCATTTATCAATAGTTCGTTAATTGAATATTAATAAACTTTGACCCATTTAGATTAAGTTGAGTATACTATTCAACAACTAAATTTAAAATAACAAAACGTTACGTTAATTTCGGTTAAATATGTAGAATGTATGTGTTTATATTTCAGGAAAAATTCCTATTATTTATTTGTGTACCTGACTTCCAGCGGTGGGAAAGGCGTCTTCGCATCCACGACAAATTCCTGACTCTTTATTCCTAAGCACTTTAAACATATCAGATTCACTGAAGGTTTTACATGCACTGTATCGGTCTAATAAACGACGACCAGCATCAAACCGAGCATCTCCAGGCTTTTTTTCACCAGAAAATACTTGAGAAAAGTTAAACTCCTCCTGCAAACATTCAAACAGAATAATATTTTGTTAAGCTGATATGCTATATTGGATATGATTTTTACATCATGCATTTATTCTCCTAAAATGTAATTTTGTTTACTCGATTGTCATATTGTATCAAATATCTTGTTAAATCTCATTACCTTGCCATCCCACAGCCCTTTAGATATTACATATTCTTCTAAGCCATCTGATTTCCGATCAATCTTCGTGGTAATTGTAAGGATATTAGAAATATTTCTATAACCAGCTGAAAAAAAATTAAAAATTCATTTTAGTTTCCATTAGTTATTTTTAGTCAGTTTGAGAAGACTTGACATTTCTTCTTTATAAGAAAAATATACTGGATGACTTTTAGGACATAAAATCAACCGACCTCAGAGATCGGGTCAGATTCTGTTAAATACATAGATTTAAATTTCTATACAGTGCATTTTCAAATAAGAAGTTCTTGAATGTAAAACAGTCAAATACAACACTTGGTGAATTAAAATAAAATAAAAATTTAAAAAACTAGCGTGATTGATTAATGATTGATCAATGATTAAGTGAACTTTGCCATTTCAGGCAGCTAAAGCAATTAGCATAATTTCTCTTCATCTGGTGGCTTAAACTTACAAGTAACTTTTTCTGCTGCCCAGTGTTTTCCACATGTTTCCAATACCCAAGCACAAGAAGGGTCAGCAATTAAGTAAGAGTTATGGTAAACAAATCCCTGATCAGTGTTAGAACAAGGTCCCCCTTGCCCATATTTTTCTAACAGTTTAGTAATTACTTCTAAGGCATTGTCAGCGTTGGAGCTTCTCTCCAAGCCGAGCCTGAAATGTTAGTTAAATTGTGAGTATTATTAATGAACTAAATGGATTATCTTCACACTTTTAGCAGCATTCATTAATGTTAGATCTAGTTTTCCAAAGCTTTGAGTTCTAACCTTACTAGATCCATGCCTAGCAATCTTTTCACAATTGGATCACTATCGCCTTCATTATCATTGGTCCAAATGGCTTCATTACCAATAGCAACGCCACATTCATTAGCGCCCATTTCGGCTCCCCACATCCAGTTGGGCTTACTTAAAATTACTGCTTTCGTCTTCTCGACAGAATCCACTTTTATATAAGTACACTATAAAGAATTAGAGAATGTAGTACTTAATATATGCTATAGACTATGATGAGACATTGAATAATGTTGCTGCTAATTATCTAATTATTGCTTATTTAAACTATTTCTGAGCAAAAGCGGTAAATCAAGAACTATAAACGTTTTACAAAATCATAAACCATGCATGTTTTACTATTTTCTGGCGGATTTATCAAACAATCGGAAATTCGTATAATGTTTAGTACCAGTTTAGTACTAAAATTATAATTTCAATTTTTTTAAAGATTGTTAAAATCTGGTTTATAATGATTATACTGATTTCTGACGTTATTAAGATAAACAAAATATATAGTTTTTATATACTGTCAAGACGTAGTTAAATGGTTCAAGAGCGAGGATAGAAATTTTATTTTTAACTACCGTTGTTCTTTAGTTTATGTAAATTACAAATGAACTATATATATATGAATACTATCACATTATTACTGAAATTTAAAGAATGCCTTGACTATTTGCACTATTGGCGCAATAGTCCGCGGAAAGTTTTAAGGATCAAACAAGGGATGTCCTGGCCCTAAGGCTTTCCGGCCAGGGAGACGTCGATGACACGATTGTATCTCCGACGGGGTAGTATTCCTATTTCGATTCGAATTTTTTCATCCGCAATATATTGCAGGTAAGTTGAAAAAAAATTATGGCGCCGGAGAATAAAATTCATGAAGACTATTTTCTCTTCTGTTCATAAAGGCTAGATTGCTATATACTGATTTGTATTACAATAGATAATTTCTTGTGCAATAGACAAAATGGTGGCTGATATTAAATGTAAAAATTAATAGACATTCAAAAAATGTTTTTATAGAAATATTGAAGAATTTCCTAAGCAATTATCCATTACTTATAGACTAGTGATGTAGTGCCAATAATACATGGCGATTTACCATCCTCTTGCCTTTACCCACAATTCTACCCTATTATACACGGCGTTTGGTAAGTAGATGCATTCCTTGCAGATGATAATGCAAGTAATTTTGGATATATTACCTTATATAAACCATATTCCTAAAACTCTTAGTTTCCGGTTTACAGGGTCTGAAACTTTTAATTAAAAAAAATATATTTATTATAATTGCGGAAACCGCCTGGAATCAAATCGGGTTTCGATTAAATAGTGTTTAGTATAAAAAAAGCAAAAATAGTGCACTTACAAAATCAAATGTATTACTTACAAAAATTACAAAATTTTATTACTAGCCGCAGTTGACATCAGTGTTAGAGCTTCTTTATTTGTTTTTGCATATTAGATTACTTTACCTGTGAATTAAAATTTAACTAATTTTTAGTATTGAATGAGTACCAAGCTTGCCACGATAAGAAAAAAATGTGTTATTTATTTATTCTAAACAGTAACTACTTAAGATCTTGCTCAAAACAAAGTCCTCTTTTTTCTGTCCGGGTTACCCTGGCCGAAAATGTCTGTTTACGTGTAATAGCGGCATCTGCAATTCTTCTTCTTCTTCTAGCCGTTCTTTGTCCAGAATTGGACATAGGCCTCCCTTAGTTCTTTCCATTTTGCTATATTCTGGGCAATTCTCATCCATGGAAGTCCTGCCACCTTTTTTATGTCGTCGAACCATCGTGTGATAGGTCTTCCTCTCGCTCTTCCGCAGGTCCATGGCCTCCATCACAACATGCATCTGTAATGCACTGTATTAATTCCTCCCTTGTATATATTTCTCCGGCATAAACCAACTCTTTCACCCTGCTCCATACGCGAAAGTCTAACGGAGTTAGATCTGGGCTTGCAGGCCATGATATGGGGCCTCCTCTCCTCATCCACCAATTCGGAAAACGCTGATCAGGGTACTCCCTTACAGTTTGTCGATAATGTGCTGGACATCCATCATGCTCGAAGATCAGGTTCTGACGAATATCTAGCGGCACATTTTCCAATAATGTTGGCAGGTGGTTAATAAGGAAGACGATAGAAAAATGATGGAATATTCTGGAGGGTCCCCGGACTTCTTATCGACAAACAATTAGCAGTAAGTATTATTATACATATGTATTATGCCCTTTTATTTCATAACATATCAGATTGAAATTTGTGTAACGACTCCAGCCCTGAGGAAGGCCACAATAAATTGCCGAAAGCTTGGTAAACATCAGCACTGAACCGTCTTTGGTAATTACGGTTCGACGTTAAACGGGGCCCTATTTTCCTAGGCCCAGTAATGAGCATTATGGTAGTTGGTAATCCCCTATCGATTAAAATTTGATTCATCAGGACACAAAATTCTACTGAGAGAAGTCGTGTCCTCCATATCGGCGTTTAACATAAATCGGCAGAAGCTCATTCTACTTAAAGGATCTTCTTCAAGCAAGTCTTGAACCGGCCTATAATGATAGGGATGTAGTTTCTCTTTGTTCAATGTCCGGACTTTCCACTGTGATACCATAAGACGTATAGTCGCGACGCGTACGCTTGTCGTCGGATCTTCCGATGACGAATAAACCCCTAAGAATGGCTTCTTCGTATTAGTACCGTAACTTGCTGGAGATTCTACGTGAATTTGTCTGCCTTGTACTTTTGTACCCGACTCAATGACCCTTCGATAGGTTTGCAAAGACACAGACAYTTGGAAGACGACGCCTGTTTGGAAAATCGACGCTGATATTCGCGGGGCTCTTTAACACTATTTCCGACGCAAAGTCCATAAAWGTAAAGAATATCAGCGTATTCACCATTTGAAAACTCAGAAATTTTAACAAATAAAGTTTTCAACTAATGTGAACGCAAAACGCAAAAAGGTGACAACTAAAGTTACTCACACTTGAAATKATAAAAATGATWAATTTTGTCAATCAGTGACTAGTGCAGAGYCAACTTTTTAATAAAAATGCGATTACGATRTGCAATCAATCGATATTAATTTGTTTACTCGCAAACGGGAAGTCGTAGAAAAAAAGTCAAGAGATCTTTTCTCTTCCACATTGAGCGGGAATTTGAATAAAAATGTTTATTGTTTGAAAAATCAGTGGCGTAATATTTTTCTATTTAAAATTATTTACACACGTGCCTGTACCCACGCCACTGGAAAAGCTAGATACAAAATTTTTATCACAAAACATGTATTGTTGTTAATTGCCGAAGCCTGTAGAATTTCATTATAATATTCCAAGCGGTTTTCGAAATTTTAATAAATAACATTTTTTAATTAAAACTTTAACACCCTGTGTATCGGAAACTAAGGGTTTTCGGAACATGGTCTATTAACGAAATATATCCAAAATTATTCGCATTATCATCCCCTGGGAGGAATGCATCTTGTATATACCTTAGCTGTGTCATGTACATATTTAGCATATTGAAAATCAAGATCTTGAAAAAGTTTCACAACACTTACCTCTGTTTCTGGACCAGCTGCTTCGGTAGCAGGAAAATATACAACTTCCTGAACTTCGCCTTGGGGCCTATCTGAATTTTTCCCAAAGACCACCCCCCGTTTAGTCAGTGGGGGTAGCACAACAAAAGTATCGCAGGACTGCATCATCTTCATCTAAAACCAGAAAATTCCTATGCTTACTAGCCTTTAAAATCACTATTAGCTGGCAGAAACGTTAGTGAAAGGAATCAAAGAGCGAAAGTGGGATTTTAGAACTTACGTCTTTTGTGGTTTATCAAGTTGTCAGCCACAGAAAAGCGCTTTTACTTGTAACAAATGTGGGCAAATGAAAATGAGTCCTATTTCAAGTGTAATCGAATCTTTTTAGCTTAATTAGACACTCAAAAATAAGGAACTTTGAAAGCAAAACCTTTAACTTCTTCTGCTAGAATCGATTTTGGCAGGAAACAGCTGGTTGGTAGTTCAAAATGACGTTGATGGTTTTGATCATAAGGACCTATAAGGTGATTCGGTTTAAATTCACCAAAAAAGTTTTTTATAGTTAAAAAATGCATTTAAAAAGTAAAAAAAAGTAAAACTCTCTAATATCTGGAAAACATCGAATCGAGCAAGGTTAGGAAGCCCCGTTTGTAACGAGTTTCGAAGTAGCCTTGAAACTCGTTGGATGAGATTTAGCATTGTTGCCGTGTTGTGTAACTGATTTCCGTTCAATATCACAGATACACGGTGGTCCAAAGTAAACAAAGAAACGAAATATTCTGAAAAAGTGGTCACTCGATTTGAATAAGTCCCGTTATTATGCTTATCAACGGATCGGTTGAAAAATAGATTAAAAAATAGAAATAGTATACAGTTAAAAAAGTATTTAAAAGAACCACTAGAACGTCCTGATAGACCTAGAAACGCACGAAATTAAATAAACTGGCAAATAAGCAAAATCTACATTATACTTTGCTAACTGTTACTTTTCTTTGAAGTACTTTAATTATTCAGAAGAAACAATGTTAGCAGATTTTAACCGAAAAAAACATCTTACAGCAGTTAATTAAATTGTGATGAGAGGGCAATCATGTTAACGGTAAAAGTACATCCTTAAATATTTGCAACCAATGCAGTGCAAGAACAAGCTGCACAATAAGTAAAAGTAATTTAGATTAAAAACAATATTTTACTATACATGCAGTTCCCTAAGCATATGATCAAAAGGGTACATCATATGACCTAACTTTTCTTAAGAAAAATTGGTTCTCACAAAAGTAAGAAGCGAGTTTTTAGCAAAATATGGTCCTGAGGTAAGAGCAAATCCACAGCAAGTTTCATTAAATTGCATCTGAGCGCTTTTTAGATATATATTACAAAACACTTAATTTAAGTTTTATTAATAAAATTCTCAGTTGGCAAGAGAAATGTTTTGTTATAAAAAAATTTACTAATTAGATTAGTGCATTAACTCGAAAAAAATTGGTTCATTCCAGCTACCAAATAAAACGTTCTGGTACTTTTCCGGCAAGACAATCAATAATTCCTCACTTACCCAAAAGGATGAACTCACARCGAGTKTCATTAAAATCTWTCRAACCATTTGTTCCTCCCGATATTACAAAAGATACTTTCAAAAGAAAAAAAAATCGAAATAATAGTGTTGCAAAACCCGATCTGAAAAAGGCAAAATTCAACCTATTTCACCCAAAGCAAATTTTCTCTAAGACTTATTCTTGAAACACCCGATACAGTCTTGGATARCAAAAGTCTGTAAACGTTGGWAGTAAAGTTCAACGYGACAACAGTGTTTCGGGGCCCATTCATGTACACGTCGTGCGTAATGGGGTTCCTGTACTGTACGAGGTGATTTGCTTTCAACTCGCAATCGAACGGAAAGGTTCTGAGTGTAGTCTCGCGAAACGGGGGCTCGTTTCTTGGCGGTAAATAGTGAGTGGCTGAAAATTTCCAAAACAAACCCAAACCGAAATGGCACTATTTCGCATAACTACAGCCAGACTGCAGGAGTCGCAGGTAGGAATTTGCAATTTTTTTCATTTCATTAAGTAAACGTGCAAAATTGCCCTGTTGCCCATTTTGCAACTACCCCCTATCGCTTCTAGATTATTTATGCTATTCTATGTGTCCTCGTTGGGTTTGAATTGGGACAAGTATCTGATATTGGAAATCTGTGCAACTCACACATTACGTAAGAAGGTTGCATATTGTTTTTGAAACTGTAGGGCAAAGTGGATCTTATGGGCAGAAAACTGACGCTTTTACTATTTTTCCATATAGCACCTACTTTTAATGTTATATTTAATGTAGACTTGGGTAGGGTTTCAATATTAATCAGCAACAACAATTATTTTTAAAATTAATTAGCTATTCTCGTCTCTGAGGTGATTGAAAAATTTATATATTTGCCATGTGGCAAACTACCTGCTTAAACCACCATTGAGACCCACTTGACCAGAACAAACCTCCAGCGTGTTCAGCCTATTGCCCATTATTCTGAAAAGAAAACCATCCTGCCAATTGCTCTTACATTTAATTTTTATAAGTACTTAAGTATTAATATTCATTCTGGAATTTAGACTACTAGAACTGTTACTAACCAAGATCTGTTTCTACTAATTGTACAAATCTTATATAATGGTTACTAGTCACGTGTTTTGTGCTAATTTAATTAGGTAGTATTCTTGCATATTCCTATAGTATTCCTATAGTATTCCTATTTAGTATATGTGTTTTACACTTTGGGACAATCAGTACTAGGTGTATTATGAATGATCCAATAAAAACAGCATGAAAATAATCGATTACAAAATATGCAAAAGCGTAATCGAGACAATATATCAAACTTAGTTTTTCGAATGAGCATTAGTTTAAAATACCATCTGCAAATGTTAAAAGACAACCTTAAAACTTTCATTAGACACCACGTGTTCCAAGACAAGGGTTTCGCTGATAATTAAATTAAAATTCATGCCTGTATTTATAATGTTCTTATATTACAGTCATTATTCTAATGGTTCAATGTGCTGTAATGCGCAAACTAAGACTTTGATTGTTGAGTTTACACTGCATTCATTAATAAACTAATGAAATAAATATGTGTTCTTGTATCGTATCCAAAATATTGCTAAAAATTTGCTTAATGGTTAGTATACAGAAACGCTAAACATTTAGATAATAGTGACCAGGGTACGTTTTTCATAAATTTTTATGCTGTTTAACACGCGTTAGGCTGTTTTTTACGGATTTTAATTTCTGTTTGTCTGGAAACCCCAGCATTACAAGCAATAATATTTTTTTAAATATAATCTTTAAGTCCTTGTTATTCGAAATACGGTTAGTAATGATTTTTTCACCCCAATAATCTGGCATTTTATTTGCTAGACTTGAATTTTAAATTTTAGAAATATTAAACAAAAAACACTTACGTATGTGAAAATGACAAAAATTTTGTGTGATCCTAATATTATGTAATACATATTAATTATGAATAGACAACTTATTTATTTACTCCTATGTACTTCTATCTTTAATTGATAAAATGATTAAATGGGGAAAATTGTGAGTAATTTAGCGGAACCGACTTTTTTAAATTAACCTAAAAACATTAATCTAATGTTGTTTGATTGAAATATAAAGAAGGATAATTATGCCTTATTTAAAAGTTAAAAGTAATATTTTTAATATGGGCTGTAAATTGTTAAAATCAAAATAGTTTTATTCGTAATATTTTCGAGACAAATTATTAAACAATAAACACTTACATAAGGGTTACTAATTTTATTTATTTGAATGGTACTTATAAATCCGTTTTCTTTCAAGGGTGTAAACTTTGGTTTTCAATTAATTTAATTAAATTTTCTCCCATTTCTCGAACAAAAGGTCTTGTAAATTACTTTTCAATATAATATATGTATTTACACACATGTATAATTATTACACATTATTTACACACATGTGTATGTAGCAACCTTATTGAAAAGTTGTTTACGGTCTATAAAATATCTTCTGAAAGAAAAACAATCACAATTTTTCCGCTTCTATAAGATTTTTGAAATAATTTTATTAGTTTAGTTTCAAACTTATTTTACAAAAATCTAATGAAAAATGTAATAAACTTTTTTATTCAGGTCAACTTTTTTTATGTACAGTGTTCGATATTGTCACGAAAAATCTTGCTTACTCTTGAACCAAATTTATATTTTTGGAAAACCTGGTGTACAACTGAAAAAAATGGTATAAAGAATAACTTTTTTAAACGAATAATAAATTAGATATTGTGGTAAATAAATTAATATTTATGCATTTAATAGAAAAAACCTATTGAAACGCAGCGAACAATATTTTGTAAATGGAGATCAATGAAAAATTCAATGAACTGATGAATGAACTGTTTCACCTATAGTTTTGCTCTCATTAAAACTTTCTCCAAAAAAATTATCAATCTTCAAATGTTGATTGCCGGTGTTTAAAGCTTCTTTGTATTTAACATTTTTGCACTGATCTGTTAAATTTAAGCAAAATACATGATTTGTATTCTAACTGACTGGAATTTAATATAAATATTTTTTTTCGATATTCATTGTTCGCTAATAGAAAAACTCCCGTTTTGCACCAGACAAATTATTTGCTGATAAGCTCTCGTATATCAGACAAAAAATACAAAGACCTAGTGGTTTTCATGCCTATTGATCAGTGGAGCTCACTCTTGTGCATTACAACGAATCTAGCCGAATGCCCTCGGACCTGACCAAATGAATCAGTTATATTACGAGAGGCTATGGAAAATTCAGAAAAATTTGGGAATTTTGTTTCGATTTGAATTGTTTGAATAATGGTGTTGTTAATAAAACTTCTAAAAATCAAAAGTTGTTATCAATTGAAATATCAAGTATAATCAACGTGTAGAGTATACTTACAGATCACCATACGAAATAATCGGTAAATAAAAAAAAATATAAAATAAAAACGGCATAGAGTTACGACATGGATTTGAAATTCTTAAAAACTGTAGCATTTTCCAATCGAACTGCTGTTTCAAACAACAAACTCACATGCGCGATATCCAAATAATTGATATCTCAAGGACCGCCATATAAGTTGTAAGCAAATTTCAAGCGCTATACCTGCGAGTAACTAAACACCCGAATTATGGATTTGCACTTCCTATTTGCCACCATAATAATAACACTTACTCAGAAAACTTGGAGAGTTTCGGTTTAGATGCACTTAACAGCGATGGAAGAATGGGCAATCGAATACGTTTTAAGGTCACACCAAAGCGGTGTTTAATTCAGTATCCTCATTTCATGTATTTTGTTTATTTTATTAAATCATCAGTGTTGTGTTTTGTATCAACATACACAATTTTTTATAAATAACTAAGTACACAAGTATAATTTTATAACAATTTACATAGCATAACTCCAACAGGTCCTACCATAGTCCATAGTATTTAAAACTTGGCTGGTCAGTTCTACAAAGATATTCGACATTAAAAATACGATACATTGTCTTAACACTCGCCACATTGAAAGAAAATGTGGTAATTATTACTATAAAACGTAACTGGTCTTGGCCTTGACTGATCTCTAATTTCTAGTTGACCTGGAATGAATGTTTAATCACCGTTGGATATTGATATTGCAATGGTTAATTTAATGATACTCGTACATGAACTTCAGATTTTGAGTAGGTCATTTTCGGTATTTATTTCGCAACATGATCTATCGCGATTTGTTGTTTTAATAATTCGCAATTTGCCAAACTTATCAATCACATGGTTCGATATGTATGTGTACTACCAATGCACTGTTCCAATGCAATTTTCTGAGAAAAGTCTTGCGCCAATTAGATTTTCTAAATGTGCATCTTTGGCAAATTAAATTATATTAATTAATTAAACTTTAAAAATGTGAGATTCAACGTCATTTCTGTATTTTTTTTAATGGAATGGAATACTTTGTATAGCWAGCCATTTTTTGGTTAGACGTTAAATACCTTTTGCYATCACGTAACACGTTTTAGAAGAATTCCATTTACAAATTTACATTAGATTTTTGTGCGTTAGTAGATTTTTACATTTGACAATGTTTTCTTGTTATAATTGGCAATTATAATTAATATACTAAAAATGTCGAATTCATTTTAAGTGAATTTGTTCYTTTRATCGTAAAATCACTGTGTGCATATTTTTATTTTTYTTAARACGATGCGTGAATACACGATAAAGTTTTTAACAAGATTASKTATCTTTATTATTACTATCTTATTATTACTTATCTTTATTATCTTATTTTACAAGGCAAAGTGATGTTACATAAAAATGAAACATGAATATGTAAATGTATACAGAAGTACCAAATYATGRAAGTAGTAAAACTTWTTTTTTSRATTTTGGCAAAAAATGACTACTTAAATCTAACATGAGAAATTCATTTCSTAAATTAAAATTGTTTTTGCTGTTTTAAAAAAGCCTTCAATTTACTCTTAAGTACTCTTAATTAAATTTTAAGTTTTTATAWACAATTGGATTGGATAATAAMTGTTTTTCAATAATGAAACTGCACTTCAAAAACAATRAATTACCAACAATTTTCTCAAATTATAGTTAAAATACTRAATTCAGTTAAACAAAATAATGTTTGTGATAAAAAAAATTATGAGCATTTCATATCAGTAGATAAAGGAGCCTTGCAAACAAATTACTGATATAGTTACCACCACATTTAAAAGCTAAGTTGCTAAACGTAAGGGATAGTAGGTATTTTCAGCTGGTAGTAACCTAGGGAATGTTTTATTTGGGCTTGAYTTTGTATTTATTATRATATTGGTCAGCATTGATGCTAAAARGACRTAGCATGAGAAAAAWTCAGTATACCTAATTATATGCTCCAAACCTGTAATACCTATTATAGCTGTAAATAAAWACATAAACGGAATATCAAAYGTAAATATGTATAAAACGTATCAACGTAAAATACAGTTTAGTCAATTTCAGAGCCAGTTATTTTAGCACAGTTACGCATATGTTTAGTTTTATGAAATAAAAACATTTTGTCACACCATAACCACCACAAAACAGTACCAGCAATGTTTTTAATTTAAATTTAACATCACAGTGATAAAGAATCTTATCAATCTGTCTSGAACACACGCTTCTCACACTTGACCTCCATGTGTGACTACGTTTATACTTTTTGMGTTTATGTAACATAGCATGACGTAGTGAGACGTTTGAGCCTGGWTAATTCTCGTTTGTATTTCAGTTCAAGATCATTGTATCTGTAAATGTATGTATTTTGAGGTAGAAATTATATGACAATATCTTTGCTTTAATATATTGATAGTTTTCGCATATAATTTCTGATGGTCTTGCTAAATCTTCAAATACTTCTATATAGTAATTATTTGATTTATTTGTAATATTCCCCACTGATATTATTTGAAGTTAGCAACAAATGATCATCATGTTACATCACAGAAGCGCTCGAAATTCCCTTAGTTTAAAGTCCAGTTCAGACTACAACACCTTATCTTTTATTAACGGTATTAAAGTATTATAAGATTAATATCGCGTCACGTGAACTTGTTTGCATGTTTCGTATTCTTGGTGAAATTTAACCGGTAGCATTACGTTACTTTATGTTTAAGTACATGTTTTTATACTTAAGTACGTGTCCCTTTCGTATTCAAGTCCTTTGAAGTTCAGGAGTGATTGTTGAGCTTGCTAGAACTGTTAAATTACCAACCTAAGTATTTTTTGCCGCTGCTTTTTTTTATTTAGCGCCGTTTTGAATATTTGTCCATCTTATTTCAGTGATTTCTTTTATTCGGTTACTTACTGGTATTTGCATATTCGCTATCGTTCTTCCAAAACTTGCGATTTGTTTTTCTTTACTTATCTTTAGAACAAGATCCTACACGATCTTTTTCGAATGTAAATTAAGAAAATATAATGGTCTTTATTGGTCATCTATGATTTATATTGTAATGATAAAGTTTGTTACGTTTTTATCGTCCGATCTGTTCTTATTGTAGAAAGTTTCGAACAATTGATTCTAATCGTGAGTAAATACTGTTCGAAGAACCGAGTTTTCGAGATGGCAAAAAATATTTACAGTTACTTATTTTTGATATTCGCCACGCAAACCTAACGTTATATCTTAAACGTCTATCTTAAAAATGCAACTGATACTTTTAGTATTAGGATGATATTAACGATAATTTTTGCCTTTGTCGTCTGAACGTTTTGGACTCATTTAACGTTTTTAGATCCTCCATTGATAATCAAAAAGCAGCAATTATTCCAAAAGCTCACTTACAATTACTGATTTTGACAACAGATCACAGAATCGAGAATTAATTGGTGTAGATCTATTGAGTAGGTATACCCGCTCCTTATGATTTATTTAGTATGTTAATTGACGCACACCTACCATAGTATTTTTAGAATATCGCAGGAGATTTCAAAATATTGTTGTATAACGTGAATTTTATCGCAAGCATTTCTTTTTTTTATCCAGGCCATTCTTGAAATTGGTTTTGCAACATTTTAAAGCAGTGTGCTGTTTAATAACTATATAAACAATCTAATAACAGTAAGTCGCAAACTAAACTTACCTTATAATTAATTCGTATAGGATGAATTTACATATGTTTTATGCTATACCTAAACTGACGAATAGGTAAAGGTCAAGTGGCCGCGGTTCACTGGCCTCCATATCCTCCAGATATTACACCTCTCGATT